CTTGGGGCATGCCACAAGGAAACAACTAAGTGATAAGACAACAGTCTCTAAAGCACTACTTCTGGGGACTATATCTACTTAAACACTAGAGGACTCCTAAACAAAGCTCCCGCCTCTCACTCTGGCCAGACAGCCCAGAAGGACAACCAGTCAATGGCATTTAAAAAAAAACCACTAACATTTTCTGGGGGCGTGCATCCAGTATTTTTGATCAGGGACTTCTAATGGGAGTTGAGCTTGGAACTGGTGCAAGAGGCAAAGAGGGATAACGTGTGTGTCTGCTTGCCTAAGGCTGTGTGGTTCCTTAGCTTTTTGGGTGTTTCCATCTGAAAATCTCCTTTTAGCTTTTGGTGTATGGTCCTGCTGGAAGGGTCTTGCACTAAGGCCAGCTGACTGTTACTGCATAATTCCTGAGCTCACTGTTGTAAATCAAAGTTCATTATAAGAAGGTTTCCTGGTGGCTTGCATCCTGGGGCTTTTGAACAGGGGGACTGAGCTTGGGAGATCAGTGAGGGAGTTTGAGGGGAAGCAAGAGAGAACCCTTGTAGTCTGAGGGACATATAAGCTCCACATCACCAAGGTATTCTGCATTATCTTTCCTGCTACAGAAATCTGCCCAGATTCAACTAAGCATCCTATTACAACCCTAAAACACCTTTAAATAATCAATCCAGTTATTAAAGTACAAAGCCAGCAGGGGCTATCCAATGTTTTGCAGGGAATGCCATGTGTATAATTATCTGCACTATCAATCAACCCTATGCAACCTTCACACCAGGCAGGCAAGTTGCCATGCAGTCAAAATTCTTGTCACCGACCCTGTTCTCTATATTCCTAATGACAAATCATCCACTACCCAAAGGCCCCCCCCTCCCGAGGATATCCTTGGCATGAGAGGATACTGGTCCATCATCCAAGGATGAGGTCCGATTTAAGGATTACATCCCTCCTCTTCAGCCTGATTCCCTCCAAACTTCAAGACCCGCAACCTCTGCAACAGCAAATGAGCTGTCAGCACAGAAGTGGGACTGTTCCAGCAGCTCTCCTGAAGGTCTCATCCAAAACCTTTCATGAAATTTAAAGGAAAACATCTAAAATTAGTAATTTCTAACATTTCTGTATCTCCGGGTTCTTGTACAGCCACTTCTCTATGCATTCTTCCATTCTGCCAAGTACAGTCGGGAGTGTGTGTGTGTGTGATTCATCCAACCATGGTTGAGCCTACTTAAGAATTATGCCTCTTTTACTGTTTAGTAATCCCAGGTTTTGAGAGAAGTGAGGACTGGCTAACTAATGGTGAACAAAAGGAATTCTGTCCAACTCAGAAACCTATTCTTTCACCACAGTAAATCACAACATGGTCACTTGCAATGAATGATAGAGGTACAAGGCTGAGTGGAAATATGCACTCAGTTTTCTCCTTTCATCTACACCTATTCTTCCATCGGCAGTGGGAAAATCTGCTGCAGGAGGCAACCTGAAACAACATAAAACTCAAAGCTTTTCTACCTCCTCCTCTCATTTGTCACTGCAGATATCAAAGGAAAAGAGAAAAGAATATGAGGGAAAAGACTACAGCATTGGCAGATGAGAATTAACTCAGTAAGTAATATGCTTACTGACTTGGAACAAGCGCTACAGAGCCATTTCACACTTCTGGCTTACCTATTCCCTCTGAAAAACTGGTTGTACCTCTTCCCTTGTATCCGTATAAATAATTCATTTTAAACAGCAAGCTGAAAATTCAGATGTGGGGCTTGGTATTTCTTAGAAGACACTGCCTCCACATGCCAGCTACTGTCATAGGTAAGAGAACTAGAACCAAGATGGCATGTAATGAATATATCAGTTGTGCCCCTTCTGGAACATAAAATGTGCCAATTTAAAATATTTTTGGTATACTTTCCCAAAGTTTAGTAAGGTGTAGTTTGCATACTGATAAAAGAACATGATTGTGCTGAACTTCACCAGTTCTCCCAATCAACAAGAATGCATAAGAAATATGAATTACAGAGAAATGTGGGAAGAGAAGCATATGAATTACTCAAGAATAGCTAGGCTAAAAGGTAGATTTAAAAGTACACTAGGAAAAAAGCTTTACACAGGACAAAGGATTTTTCTCCTGTCAATAATTAAGACAAACACGTAACTAGAGAGTAGTATCAATACCACAATGAATTTCAATAGCTGAAAAATTAATTTAGCTGCCTCACCACAGAGCATAAATATCCTTTAAACTGCATTGAGTGTAGTGGTTAAGTGTGCGGACTCTGATCTGGGAGAACCGGGTTTGATTCCCCACTCCTCCACTTGCACCTGCTGATGTGACCTTGGGTCAGTCACAAGCTCTGGCACAGCTGTCCTTGAAAAAGAGCAGTTTGTGTCAGAGTTCTCTCAGCCCCACCCACCTCACAGGGTGTCTGTTGTGGGGAGGGGGAGGGAAAGGAGTTTGCAAGCCATTCTGAGACTCCAAGTGAAGGGCGGGGTATAAATCCAATCTCCTCCTCTTCTTCTTCTTCTTCTTCTTCAATGTGGGGGACTCATCTCAATTGCAGTGACTTAGCACATTCCCACAGATTCACAGGTATGACTACATTTCTAAAAATCCACTGATTCATGAATGTCATATATGTAGAGTTAATTCTCATGGCATTATAACTGATCACCCTCAGATTCAACTAAGCCAAAGGAATGATCAATTCCTTATTACTGAAGCTTCTCCTTGCATTGTATCCTCACTAGTTGCATACTCAAAAAGATCTTCTAAAACAGTAACAGTACTTCAGTTTGAGTAACTCTCAAGATTTATAAAAACTCAGCTTGAGTAACAATTTTTTAAAACTCAACACATAAACATGAAGGGTTGGGGGTAAAAAATCAGATGTTAAAGAACCTGGAACAGTTTATCCTAGCGGGGAAAAGCACAAAAGAGAAGGCAGCAAGACAGACTAGAAGACTCAACAGTTATAGAGGTATTTTACAGAATAGCTTTAGTTGCATTCCCTGAAAAACTACAATAGGATGAATACCTGTGGGAAGGGCTGGTTACAATAACACAGCAAGATAAAAGGTGTGAATGTACTTTTGCCCTCAGAGAAGAAGTCAGATATCTATGTTTTACCAGAAGAAAAAACAATGTTTGCAAAGAGCCAAACTCAGAAAGCTGAAAGTTACATCAGTATCTCTACGGAACATAAAGGAGCTCAACTTTCTCCATACTATACCAAATAGTGATGACCTGAAAGCATACACTGCAAGCCCGAATAAAGCAGCAGAACTGTATTAGGATGTAACTGACAAACGTTATGTGCTAACTAAATAATCCTCTGAAGTAAAGAAGAAAAAGGGAACTCTCTAGTTCAAAAGAATTTAAATTCAAGGAAACAGGAGTAAATGAGAAACAGAATGACTTATCTGACAGACAGCTGCTCTTGTATTTCTCAAGCCAAGGAGAAACTTAGAGTTTGTCTTGATGCAAATGACAATACTTTGAAGATGCAGAGAAGATTCCACTACCAAGTTTAAACATTAACAATAAACCCTACCCAAAGTAATCCATAGTAGCAATATCATCATAACAGAAATATATCTATCTTATGCACACTAGGCTGAAAGCACATAGTCAAGGCAAAAAGAACACAACGTTCATCAGGAAGGAAAAGAAGTTCCTCTAAATACTACTACAACAATTTTACAGTTGCAAGTATTCTATATATTACTCTAAATTACAATTAAGTCTAGAAGGTATCCAAGTTAGGTACCTAAATAGACCAAGCAGGTAATTAAGTGAACCACATTGCACGGGCTACAGTAAATGGAATCCTGGAAGTTATGTATTAATGGAATTTAACCTTACCTATAAATGAATGAATGATAAACAGACTTAAATTACACCTAAATGGGGAAAAATTGAAAGCAACTGTCAGCATGAAAGAACAGTGAAATGAACCAAAAAACAAAAACCAGACAAGCAATAACTAGTGTTTGAAAAGCTACAAGAAACTGTCATGTACTACCACTGTACAAAATAATCACAATTACAGCTGAAAGCATAGTACTCTTCTTCCCACCCCTAAGACTTTTATGACAGCCACTAATAGGTCACGCCAAATTCAGTCTCTACCACTGTACCACCACAAAAATTCTGTGACAGTAATGAGAACTGTTAACAGGAAACACAATCCCATCTGGAGGCATGATAATAATAGTACAGATTGTGCTAATGATATTATGCAAGTCCAAGAGCATGTGCCTTGATCAACATAAAGTCCAAAATCAAGTTTATTTTTTAAAGTAATCCCCGCTTTTACACTTCGTCTGAACACAGAACAAGGCTTTGTATGTGGGGGTGTGGGGGTGTATGTATGCCCTTACCCAACACATACCGCAAATGTTGTCAAAAGAGTTTTTAAGACTCTATCATTAGAGCAAATCCTAACCCTGAAGAAATGTTAGAATACTATGCAGTGTGGGAGAGGGAAACAATGACAGAGTGTTAGCTGTCTATCTTAGGGTCACTTGACACTTAAGACCAATATTCATTTAGTAAAAAATCATGTACTTTGTATAATCATGCTAGCACCTGTTTTCTAGAATTACATGAGCGGAGATTAATTTTCCCCCTCATATAGGGAAAAAATGTAATGTATGAAACATTCCTTAGAATTTGAAAAAGTCTGAGACACAGCAAACAGAAAATTCAGTATTAGTGTAGATAAAACATAATGCCAAAGTTAGTTACACACACTTATTCTGCAACGATGTCTAAGCTCCTGAAATATGCACAGGTAGTCCTTCAGAAGAGAGTACATACATTATTAAGTTCATAAACGTGAAGACAGAGAGTTAATCACAGCAGTGTCTCAATGGTCAGGTACTGAACTGGGCAAATCAATTAAATCAAACTAAAATTACGTTGAACAACACTAAAACTGATAAGCTACTCGTAATATGACAGGTATTGTAATCAGTCTTAGCCTACACGCTTTATTAAAACCAACCTTGGGTTCACTTTCCGCATCTTCCTCCTCCTCTCCTTCTTCTTCACCTTCTAATTCCTATAGTTAAAGAAAAGAAGTAGGAATAAAGAACATATTTTGGGAGTTTTGGCTCATGAAGGATTTAGTACGGTACTAAGTGATGTTTTAGTGGTCAGTCTGAAATTATTTGATATTGGAAGTAATCGAAGGAGTCTTTAGAACTCATTAGATTTTCTCTTGGTTCAAAGGACTGAGGATAGTTAAAGTTCCTATCAACTGATATTAAATCAGAATTTAGCATTTTAAGTTTCATTTTGTTCCCCATTTATTTTCTGAACTATTGTCTTCCCATGTCATCTACAGTGTTGCCAGCTCTGGGTTGGGAAATACTTGGGGAGATTTTGGAGGTGGAACTTGAGGAGGGTGGGGTTTGGGGAGGGACTTAAATAGAGTATGATACCATAGAAGCCCCCTTCCAAAGCAGCCATTTTCTCCAGGGGAACTGATCTCGGTCACCTAGAGGTTGACAACCCTATCTAGCATGCTTTCCTTGTTTGCTAATGTGGTCGTTCTGAAACACTAAAAGGAAAAATCACAGGACTTTACTGTTTTCTTGCTACACAAAGGCTGTATTAAACAGACAACCACTTATACCTAATCTGGTTTTTGTTAAAAGAAACAAAACAAAACAAAAAAACAAAAATAATTCCTTGCTATGAAGAAATGCTACATGCTCACCCTATCAAAACAATGTACTTGCTTAGAATCTTTCACCAAACAGCATTGGAAAAAACCAACAGTCTCTGGTTGTATTTGCGTTTACAGTCATTGAGAGAGAAAAAGTTGTGGTTCTGGAGTTGGCCATCATCCATGTGCTGATGACACTCAATTCTATATTTCTTTATCCAAATCACCTTGTGATGAAGTAGAGGTCTTGAGCCACTGCCTGTCTACTGTGGTTAAATGGCTAACGTGAACAAGTTGAAAGTGAATCCAGGCAAGATGAAAAGTTAACACTGGTTGGGGAGGCTGAAGTCTTGGGTAAAGATGGACAGCTGCTCGTGTGTGTGCATTCTCTGCTGTGGCCTGCTTCTTGTGGAATGGCCTGTCTGAGGCAGCCTGAAAGGTTCCCACACTTCTGTCATTCTGCAAACTGTGTAAAACAGGACTGCTCAGAAGGGTGTTTTTTAAAGCAAATAGGGCTACAGCATAATAGAAAGGTTCTGGAAGGCGTTTTCATGAAGGGAATAGGATTGTAGCCCATGGCACTGTTTCTTATGTGCGTTATCTTGCGCTTACTGCATTGTTGTCTCATGCTATTTGACGGCATTGTTTAATAACGTACAATCCACCTTGAGTACCGTGAGAGAAGGTGGGCTATAAACTAAATAAAATTTTGTAGGATGTCCCGTCTTAATCCACAATCCTGAGGAGACCACCTTGTCAAGAATGGAACACAGCCTGGTAGATTCACTGACTTTTCATAGCATGCGCTCTCAAGAAGCTATTACATTTGATCACTCTTACTCGAAAAAACACCAAACACTTGAACAAGTATTTCACATACTCACCTCTTCTTCTCCTTCCTCTCCTTCTTCAAACTAAGAGAAACAGAATTTGTTTAGGTCGTATTACTCCTTTAAAACATTCGCATTTATATGATTAATATGTGCATTCTATGTTGTCTCTTTGCACTTTCCCCCCCTTTCAGGGACTCAACTGCACAGGAATACTTCATATACGCCCTGCCGAAACACTTGAAATATAGAGTTGGACGCCAATGCGACATTCCTGCCAGCAGAAGGTTACTTCCACCCGCAGAGGAAAAGGGTAAAATTTGCCAGTATCTTCCCTCCCACTGCAGACACCCGCATCACATTCAGCACTGTCCCTAGGAGATGCCCTGAACCCCAGAAGCAGTGGTGTTCAGTGGGGAAGACTGGGACAAAAAAAAAAGGGGGGGGGGACTGAACCTAGAAACCTAGGATCCAGAACCTGAAAAGGTTAGAAAAGAGGGCCAACAATAAAAGCTTAATATATCTTCTATAGTATATAAAAAGATACATGTATTTATTAACAAAGAATTAAAAAATATATAAGGGCCCAATCACACCCCATGTAAAAAATACCAGAATCTAACACACAAGGGCTAATGGACTTGACCTGATGCGTTTTGGCCTGCATAGGCCTTCTACAGAGGTCAAACATGGTCGGCCTTTTATCATCTTCGGCTGGCTCGGCAGTTGGTCCCCTACCTTAGCCACGAGGACCTGGCCACGGTGATCCATGCGACGGTCACCTCAAGGCTAGACTACTGTAACTCTCTCTACACGGGGCTGCCTTTGTCGCAAGTCCGGAAGCTGCAGCTAGTGCAGAATGCTGCGGCCAGGCTGTTGGTGGGACTCTCGAGGAGGGACCACATTCAGCCTGTGCTGAAAGCGCTGCACTGGTTGCCAATAGCATACCGGATTCGCTTCAGAGTGCTGGTTTTGACCTTTAAAGCCCTTTATGGCCAGGGTCCAGCCTACCTGAGGGACCGCCTTTCGGGCCCTGCGGGACCTTTCTCAGTTCCGCAGGGCCTGCAAGACCGAGCTCTTCCACCAGGCCTTTCAGTAGGAGCCTCCTCCTCCTGTGCACTGTCGTATTACCATCATGATTGTTTGGTCCCTACGGGAGGATCGAGATGCCTGAGCACGGACTGGATGATAAGATCTCAGGGAGCTGCTATGGAGGTTAAGATCTACCCATCTTGGTTAAACCTGTATTGTAAATTTGTTACTGTATTTTATTGTAATTTATTGTTTTTAAATTATGTGTTTATTGTTGTAACCTTGGCACATGGTGCCCTTGTCAGCCGCCCTGAGCCTTCGGGGTAGGGCAGGATATAAATCCAAATATAAATAAATAAAAAATAAATAAATACAATCATACAGATATAAAATATAAATACAAGAAGGACCAGATGAAAACTGTTCCAAAATGAAACCACTAGGCACAGAATAAAAGTAGAAATGAGGCCTCCACAGATGCAATCACATGCCAAGTAAGGTTTCACTAGAAATAATTTCTGGTCCAGAAAGTGCCTTCCTATGATTGTTTAGCAAAAGTCTCCTCAGTAGAATTGTCCTTAGGCAAAGAGTCCCTAGGAGATGTCCTGAACCCCAGAAGCAGTGGTGTTCAGTGGGGCAGTGCAAGTCTGTTCTGAAAACAGAGCTTTGCTGATGCTAGACTGGATTGTTTACAAAATTTCTATACTCCATTAATAGAATTTTGTAAATTAACGGAAACCCAAATTCTCCATGTATTACTTCATTTAATCAGGTTCAAGAAAGAGAGAAATGTATATGCTCTTGCTTGGTTTCAGTGGAACAAAACTAACAGATTAAATCCTATACATCTACAAAATAGATCTTGTTCTGTTTATTTGATAAAAACCATAGGATATGACCAAGAGTTAATTTGAACCTTTTCATTTGTTTAACAAAGAATTAAAGAAGATGTTATACATGTACATGTACATCAGAGCTGCAAAGTTTAAGTTAAGTGCAAGATTGCATGACTGTCCAAAACCACAGTAAACATTTCACCTCATATCTCTATTTGTCCTTTAGGATTCAATAAGAGGGCAAGTATGTAAGCAAAGGAAAGACCTCACAGGATATCGTTGCCTTAAAGCTGGCAGGGCATAACAATCACTATGGGACCGAGCTTTGAAACCTTCAGTCCAAATCTTATCTTAGCCTTTGCTAGGTTCGCTGGTTAGCACTATTTTTTCAGCTTCCCCTCCTTTGCTACAGTACCTGGATAACAGTGACTTATCTTACAGAGTTGCTGTAAGGATTACCAAGACATGGGGCTTTGACCTTTGTTAAATCCTAAATCTTATGGTAGCATAAATTCTAATAAAATCAAATAAATAAAATAATCCCCACCCCCGAAAGTACAAAGCCAAGACCAAATACAACGGGAGAACCAATTATCCAGTTAGAACCCAACAATTTATGAATAAAAACTATGTTGCCATTCAGAAGGCATCAAATTCTCTTTTATAGTAACATGAATTTACCCTTTCTAGAAATAAAAGAAGACAATCTGAGGGATCCACTGGTTAGTTAAGGACTTTTAAGTATACATACGTTATCATCATCTTCTATAGCTTCCCCAGTGAAATACAGTACAGCACGGGGCACTATTCTTTCACGGAAGAAGTGCCCAACTTCAAAGTCTATAGCTAAAGTACACTCTGAATCTTCATCCTGCAGAAAAGCAAAAGCACAGAAAGTTATTACAAAGGAATTTTAAAACAAGGATGTAATGATTCCTTGTTTTAGTGAGTGTGGGTCTTTAAATGTTTGGTTTGAGTGCAGTGCCGGAAGGAGAGTGATAGAGGGAGACACGTGTGCTGTGATTGGAGGATGACTGAGAGTGGGAGGAGTTGTTTGGACTGAATCTGTGTGTGTCTCGAAGTCAGTGTGAGTGAATCTGAGTTATGGAGAGGTCAGATTTAGAGTGAGTCAGTCAGTGAGTGAGCTGACAAGAGTCTGTGTAAAAGTTAAAGAGTTCAGAGTTCAGTATATACGGCTTAAAGACTTAAAATGTGAAGGAGCTATGAGAAGGGTCTGTGAGACTCTAAAGTAAAGAAAGAGAAGCAATAGTACAAAGAGATAAGCTGGTGTGGCTGCCTATGTGAGAGATTCCTGTCAGAGTGGGATCGTAATGTCAAAAGACTGTGTGTGATACCTTGCCGGTTTATTTACAAGTTCCTTTTCCCCAATACAGTTACAGTTAACCAGCAACTTATTTTTTGTTCCTTAATCAATAAATCATATTTTGTTTAAGTTTAACCCAGAATTCAGTTCAATCCTTCCTCAGGGCCACATAGACCTTTGAAAGCCCAGACCCTGGGTCACATTACCAGCAGCAGAAACAGACGGAAGATTTGGAATGTCTTAACATTCCTGGTGGCAGCAGAAACTACCCAGTTTATTACACAAAGAACAATTTTAAAGTGGAAACAGTCCCCCCAAATAAGCAGTGCGCCACAAAGCATTTTGAAGGCTATGTCTTTAAGGCCACGAGTTTGTATTTATATTTAAGCACTGTTATAAAAACAAAGACTGAGGTACAAAGCTTTTTCCTGATCTGTAAATGTGAATCGTCAATATAAGCTTTGTGTTAAGAATCTATCCTTTTTAGATACTAACTTGAGAACACCAGAAAACACACTTAAATGATCGAAGACCAACTAAGCTCAAGTGGAACTTGGAGACAAAGCACAAAAAGACAAAACTACTGGCACTGGACAAACTAGATGTTTATTACGTCCTTGGTTAAACACAACTTGGAGCTGCGGTGGCTCAAGTGGTTAAGATGCTGAACTGCAGGCTGTGGAAGGTCGGTAGTTCAGCAGTTTGAGACCCGGGTGTCGCATGATGGAGTGAGCTCCCGTCTCTAGTTCCAGCTCCTGCCAACCTAGCAGTTCAAAAGCAAGAAATTGCAAGTAGATAAAAAGGTACCACTTTGGTGGGAAGGTAACAGCGTTCCGTGCGCCTTGGCGTTTAGTCATGCCGGCCACACGACCACGGAAACGTCTTTGGACAGCGCTGGCTCTTCGGCTTGGAAACGGAGATGAGCACCGCAACCCTAGAGTCGGACTCGACCGGCTTTCGAGCAAGGGAAACCTTTACCTTTAAACACAACTAGTTTTTTTTTAATTAAGATATTTATATTAGACAACAATCCCTAATTCCAACCTTCCCATTCACTCTCTCCAGCCAGTAAAGTTGCCTCAGAAAGGAGATAAGGACAGAAAGTGTGTGTATAAAAAGCAAAGTTACATAAACCAGTTTATATTAATTTTACGTATGTCCAGACATGCTGAACAAATACAGTTAAATTCTGTGCCAGCATTTCATCTATAAAAGACATTTTTTTCCTTTTACTGCCAAGTCCTGCATTCCATCTCTTGACATTCACGGTTTCCAACGCGGTGCCTGTGTGAGCCGTGGCACCCGTTGTCCGACTTCTCGAGTCCCCGACAAGTGTTTTCTTAGGAAGTGGGTGGGACATCAGTTTATGTTCTTTGCCTGACAAGGATTCTGATTGGCTACTGGAGATCTGATGGGCTGTGCAGATTTTTTTTTAAAAAAATGTTGCCTTGGCAACAGCCACCACTACAGCACAAGGATCTACACTCTGTTGCTGAAATTAAGCCGTGGCAATTCATTTTGCGGCTGGCTCCGCCTCCCACGGCAGCCATTTTGTTGCTGTGCCCACCGTGCCAAATGTGCCTGCAGGCTCACAAAGGTTGGGGTCCCCCGATCTACATCATTAAATTTGGAGGCAAGGTGGCACTCCTCTTTAGAGGATGAGGTATTACCAGAAACCTTTCTAATGATAAATTGTCCGCATGAATTCCCCACATGTGGGATTGTCTCCCCCAGCATGCGACACTGGTTCAGAAGCTTTAGGGTAAAAATGTTGTAGGCAGAAGCATCTAAGACATTTTGGTGCTTGAGGCAGGAAAAAACCCTCAGGGATATTATATCCAAGGTGAAATAGTCAAGTTGATGTCCTTTAATAACACATCCATCAAATTGCTACCTGAGGCAGTCCATCTTGACCCACCTAACAGTAAAGGTATAACTGGGTATAAAAGCTAAAAACAAAACAGACTTACCAGTGATTCGCCATCTCCCCCCCTAAAACGGGGGGGGGGGGGGAGAGAGGGAGAGATCGATTAAACAGACAGTCCCAATCCTCCTTGGACCAAAGAGCAACTGGCCCATATCTTAGAGCCAAACCAACAACCAAGGAAAACTGCACGGATACAAATGAAGTTTGGGAAACATACCCCTGCTACACATTTTAACACAGAAGGCTAAGTGCTGTGTTTATGCAACTCTAGAACTGACGGCCAAAGGGAAAATGTGTTTTGTCACCAGAAAGGAAAGCTGTTCACTTTGCGCCTACATTTACCTTGCATAATAGAAATGAAGAGGACAGAGCATTTTCATTTAATAAGGCTGCAAAGCTGCATCAACATTAAAATGTGATCACTATCATTATGTGATATAACCATTATAGCCATAAACACACCAGGCCCAGTACCTGAAATACCAACTCCACCAGATGAATCAGCTTAGGTTAGTTACGATACTGCTGATTTTTGAGGGACTATATGAAGAAAGAGGGGGAGTTTACCCTCTATTGCCAGTTACCTAGACTGGGATTGGTTAATTCTTTCCCTGCCAATCTGTGCAATAACGATTGAAAAGAACAAAAGAGGGTGAGGGGGAAAAAACCCACATTAAGTCTCTTGGTGAAAGTCGTTGAAGTCATCTGTTACGAGGGCCAGATCTGATATAAATGTCACTTAGTCAGGCTGGGCCACGTGTGCCATAAAATGTAATGCCAAGTACCGGAGATATAAACGTTATAAAGGACACGGGCAAACCCAATTAATGATATTATTTTTTTTTACTCAAAATACAAACATGCTTAAACATGAACACTCTTACAGTATTTCCTTAAAGTATCTCCCTGAGGCCCTCCCTCCCAGTTCCTCCGCCCATTACTCATTAATATTGGAACAGTATACAGGGACATAATGCACAGCCTCTAGCATCAGGCAATAAAGGTTGTGACCAGTTGCTCACAGGCCAGATAAGAGCCCTGGATGGGCTGGTTCCAGCTTGCAGGTCGTATGTTTAACACCCCTGGTCTAATAGGCTGGTGAGGGAAGATCTTCAACTGATTTTAACTGTAAGAATATAAACTGTCTGTGGTTTATTAGGTAAAAGTGCTCTAACTTCCGATGAAGTCTTACGAATGCATGGTGAACACTTGTGGCCAAAGTGCTGGACTTGGACCTGAGAGACCCAGGTTCAAATCCCTACTTCTGCCATGGAAGCTCGCGGCGTGATCTTGAGCCAGTCACTCACTCTCACTTAAATCTACCTCACAGGGTCGTTGTGGGGATAAAACGGAGGAGCTCAAGTTCCTTTGAGGAAGCGCAAGATAAAAAATGAACTCAACAAATACATAAGATGTAAGTGTACACCAAGAAGGAATGATGGAATTTAAACAAGCTTACCTTTTATTGGACTGAAGAAGTTGAAGAATGAATCATTGGGTACTTGTTTAGTAATTGTTCGGACAGTGCCTCGCCCCTTATGTTTCTGTTTCTTCTTTATTGTTTTAACAGTAACATTTTTTCCTTTTTTCCAATCAATAGTACATCTGAAGGGAGAGCAGAATCATATGATGATATTAAGAGGAAAAAGCCGAGCCCACTTTGGGGTCATTTTCAGACCCAAAATCCCCTCCCAAGACAGTAATAGTAGAGCTTTTGGTACCCACTGCAATAGTACAAACTATTTGAGTCTACATACAAAAAAAGGGGGAGGTTGAACAAAAAAAAACCCCTTAAAACTTTGGGTCCACCCGCGATGTCCTGCAATGGTAGGATTTTTTAACAAATCATTTCATGAATTCCTCCAGATTAATTGGGTCAATTGTCACTCTCTGGTTCATCCCCCCCACACACACATACACCTTTTACAGCAAGAGCACTAGGGGAATTGTTTTCAGGCTATTGCCTAAGAGTACTCTTAACATATAAACTTGCCTGATTTACATATTTTTATATTCTAACTATATGTATTTCTGAAACATTTGGGAATATTTCCTTACCCCTCGCAGTCAACAATTTCAGGGCCTTCAAATGAAAAAGGATCTGTCTTGTCCGGTTCTGATTTCATCTTGTAGGTTTTTGTCAGAAGTGTATTAGTAAAGTAGTCATTGGGCTCAAAGTAGAACTCTAATGTGAAAGACTAAAGAAAAAGGACCATCATTTTCTGAGGTGACTAGCAATTTTCAAGGAGACAGAAAGAAAGTGTTTAACTAGCATCACTTTGAGAATATCTGTATTGGTGTTCACCCTTTATATAGAGAACCTTCAAAAGATGCTCCATATACCTAACCCCACAATAATGCTTTTTATACAGCTCTACTAGATTTTAACTCAAAACAGAATAAAAACTGATCTAAAAGCTACGATATAACATACATGCAATATGCAAATGTTGTCACGTGGGAAGAAGACACCAGTATTTTACTATGCATACCTGCAAAAAAACTGTTTATGTTTTGATACTGATATTACATTATTTCCTAAGTGCCATTTTTTGTAGCAAAAGCATCACACGTGAAGCAGGAGTGGAATTCAGCAGCTAATTTTCTTATATCCACAAATAGGTTGGCAATATTAATCTACCCCAAAACATAGGTAGACGGGCTATCAGCTGCCTAAGTCACATATTATCCCCCACTCTTACACACATATATGCAGTCAGCCACACTTTTATGGGCAGCAGTAGCAGTACATCACTGCAGAAACAAAGCTGAATGAGAGGGGAAATGGAATCATGTTTAGTTGCCCTAGAATTAAATTCCTCAACCCAATCCTAACAACTTTATAATTCACATTAGGCACCAACATAGTAACCTTTCTACTCTTGGACGTAAATCCCACCATTTCTTACAGAATGGCACTCGATGATTATGCTGCAAGAAAAATTAGAGCTATGGGTATGGAATTATTGTACTTTTAGAATATGTCATTCAGAAATCTGATCCCAATACCTAGATTTTTATTCTGTTCACATATTTTATATTTTTAATACTGTCTTGTTAAATTTATATTTTATATCTTAAATTGTGATGGCCAATGGCTATATACAATAAACGTTTGAGTGAGTTTAGTTACATTATCTGCTGTTTCTCAATCCTGCCTGGGGCCAGCTGAATTTTTTACAGACCAGGTTCTACATAGCAGTCACCAGTTGTCATTATATGCTTGAAGTGCATGCCACACACACACACTCATTCTTAAGCCCTCTCTTCCAGGTTTAATAGCCTGTACTATTCACTTCTAATCCTACAAAGTATTTTTGCCATTTTCCCAATGTAACTTGCCTCCTCCTTCTACCACCAATTAGTTTTCACTTAAATACATAGCTTGTTTCAGTATTTTACAATAGCTCTGAGCCCCTCACATAAGAAGAACTGATGAGAAATCATTACGCTTCATCAGTGATGAACATGTGAGAAGTATTATATGAGAAGTGTTAGTATCTCCCATTTTGTAGCATTCCAATATCATTTCTTGTGTGTGTACTTTGTCATGGTAAATGACTTAAGTCAGCAATAGCTGCAGAATAGAGCAGGAAAGACAGATTAATCTGTATCAGATTAACTCCTGGACATATACCACTTGCACATCTGCCATGATGTTCCATACAACTCAGTTAACCTTTTCAAGTCTCTAGAAAGGAGAGCAAAAGCTCCCTGTGTGAGCCAGGCACCCACCACCCTGGAAGAGGGAGTAAAACTTATTAGCTCAAGACAAGGAACAAATTACAATGCTAATGTATTACAAAACTGTCATGGTAAGCCTACATTAAGCCTATTTACAGCTCAGATACCTAGGAGAGATTTACAACTTTATTGTTTTACCAACAACATGAACAAGGGCTCCACTGCATTAGATATGCAGAGCAAGCAAGCTCCATAAACCAGTTCATAACCCAAGTATGTGTGTCAGATATTTTGATAGGATTCCCACATATTTATTAATTCCCTAACTATAAACTGCTTAGATATGCCAAATAAAGATTTCTGTTTATAATACTCCAGTAAGTTACTACTGATGAGCAGAGAAAATCCTGCTCACCATCAAAGACGTGATAAAAAGTCACCCTAGTTGCTCTTTATATTGGCAGAATGCACAGAGAAACAGCTCTAAGTATCACCACCACACATTAGTATGCGATGTCCCCAAAGTATAATCACTTACAGTTCAGTGCAAAGAAAAAAGCACCTAGAGTATGAGACCATCCATTCAAAAAGCTAGTGGTTTTAACTTTGGGGTACTTTTTTAAAAAAGACCTCAGCCCATAGAGATAAAAAGGTCTGGTTTTGCAGAGCATAATTAGTCCAGGGAAACACTTAAGTAGTATTCTTTTGCAACTGAAGAACATTTATCTCACCATATTGGGTTATAAAAGTAACTCCTCAAATTCCAAAAATATTAGGAATGGCCCTCAGTTTGCAAGACCAGAACAAGGCTGTTAATGACCCTTTAGAGGTCATTAATTCATAGGGTTACTATGTGTTAGAAGTGACTTGACGACATGTAACACACACTGATAAATGAAATATGTGGGGGGAAAGAAGACCGTTGTCTTCTGCCACCACGAACAGTGATCTGGTAACATTTTACTACCTATACTAGAATTTAGAGCTAGTGCAATTACTCCAACGCAATTTGTAAGTTTCTTTTACACTCCTGTATAAGAGTGTTATTGTATAAGAGTTTTAAGAATATCAAAGGAAAATCCAATCTAACAGAAATATCCAAATATATTTAAATGAGGCAGATAATGTGGGATTCTCTCTCCAATGACAAAGCCCCATAATTTCTTTGGAGATGTTTGCACAGCCATACATGAGATTAATACAACCCTAGTTTAAGACCTGTCCAGTAAAAAATACAGATTATTGAGTAGCCTGTCTTATTTTAAAATTTTCTACCACACTGCGGTGGCTCAAGTGGTTAAGACGCTGAACTGCAGGCTGTGGAAGGTCAGTAGTTCAGCAGTTCGAAACCTGAGTGTGCCGCATGATGGAGTGAGCTCCCGTCTCTAGTTCCAGCTCCTGCCAACCTAACAGTTCGAAAGCAAGAAATTGCAAGTAGATAAATAGGTACCACTTTGGTGGGAAGGTAACAGCGTTCCGTGTGCCTTGGCATTTAGTCATGCCGGCCACATGACCACGGAAACGTCTTTGGACAGCGCTGGCTCTTCGGCTTGGAAACGGAGATGAGCACCGCAACCCTAGAGTCGGACTCGACTGGCTTTCGAGCAAAGGGAACCTTTACCTTTAAACACAACTAGTTTTTTTAAAAAAATTAAGATATTTATATTACAAGACAACAATCCCTAATTCCAACCTTCATACTCTCTCCAGCCAGTATAGTTGCCTCAGAAAGGAGATAAGGACAGAAAGTGTGTGTATAAAAAGCAAAGTTACATAAACCAGTTTATATTAATTTTACGTCGGCTTGGAAACGGAGATGAGCATCGCAACCCTAGAGTCGGATTCGACTGGCTTTCGAGCAAGGGAAACCTTTACCTTTACCTTTCTACCACACTTTCATTTGCATAGAGTCCTACAGAAATCTCTCCCAGAGAGGACCTGACACCACTTTAAAACCTGCAAATCATTTAATTATAAAATATTTATTATCCTCCTTTTCTCTTGGCTCGGGGGAGCTATTAAAACATTACCAATTATTTATTTTTATTGATTGATTTTATTGATTTTTTTATCCCGCCCATCCAGCCTAGGCTGGCTCAGGGCGGCTCACAACAGAATAAAAGTTCTCATGATACATAAAATGCAATTCATTGCACTAATACATTTCCTGAGAGATAAAATACAGCAATATAAAAACTGTGTTAAAATCAAACGTAGTATTAAAGTGCTAGCACATTCCATTTTTTTTGCTTCAGATAGGGGAGGCTAGGATGGGCAGTAGCCACAGGGACCAGCGGCTCAGGGCATCCACCATGGTTGTCAGCTGTTGTTATTGGATAATGACACCAATAATTGTGCTGGTCGTGGTGGGGGCGGTAGTGGTGGTGGCAGCTCCAAAAGCTTGGCAGAAGAGCTCCATTTTGCAGGCCCTGCGGAACTGTGAAAGGTCCCGCAGGGCCCTGGGCTCCTACAACCAAATGAAAGCCCAAATACCTCCCTCTTTAAAGTCACTAACACAGCTAATGAGGAGCTAGGAAAGGCCTCCCTAGCTCCATGGATAAGAACACATTTTAAACTGCGTTAAAAGGACCTCAGTAGTACTCACCATAGGCTGCCCTGGCTCAGAAAATTTCACTTTGATATCCTGCAGATGCTTCAAAATTGGCTCATCATATTCCTAAACACAAACGGGGAAACTAATAAGTCATTTCTTTCATAAGAATCATGAACAAGGTTTAATGTATGCCATCTGTTTTCAAGTTATGTTACTTCACCTCAACACTTCTTGAGAATATTTATAATCTGACCAAAATGTAATCTGTTTCAGAAACTGAAAGCTTTCATTTTTATAATCACTGTCATAGCAAGTGTACAACTACTCTTAGTACTGGTGTAATTAAATTTATTTGTATAAGAACTCCTGTTATTCTAAACAGCAGTGAAGTATAATATGCAGAGTTCCTGCCTAGTCTCAGCCACATAAAATGCAAAACATCAGTGAGGGTGGGACAAAACAATTGAAAAGTCGATGAAACCAGTCCAACAGAAAAGATGCTAAATAAAGCGGGCGGAGGGGGGCGCTGTGTTAAGTATTTGCTACAGAGCAGCTGGAGTAACAGCAACATTAACATAGGGAGGGGGGGCAGGCAGAGAGAAACAGACAATGTACCTTACCTGGGAATTCTTCTAGTTATTTAATGAACAAATATTAATGAACAAACATCCCCTAGGAGGCAGATTTTTTTAAAGAACAATTCAACTAGGGCTTGGACAAGAAAGCACCTCCCATTTTCCCCTATAGCCAGCACTTATTGATATAGCAATATTTCTTACCTTAACTAAATTACTAGTATTGGAATAACCCAAAGCAGTGGATCCATACACACGGTGAACAGTGAACTTTACATGCAAGCAGAATTCAGGTCAACCAAGTTGAGTTCCCTCTGCTTTGCAAACTTCCAACGGTTCAAAACTATGGGTTGTAACAGTCCCTGTGGGCAGGGACCTTGCACATTTGGGATGCAACAGTGCTGCCTGAACGTGGTGCTTCAGCAACTCGTCAAGAACCCTACCAAATATGGACCAAGGTGGCTGCCTTGCATACTTTCTTATTTATTTATTTATTTCTTCGACTTGCTACCCCGCTCTAACCCCCGAAGGGGTCTCTGAGCGGCTAGTTATTCATTGTTCTGTAGCTAATTGTTCAGAAGGTAACAGAAACCAACGGAGTGGCCCAAGGCTTTGTAGACCTCTTATATAAACACAATGTTTCAATGAGCTAGGAAAATCATCTTATCTTTTCTCATCTTCCTAAGCTCCATGTGTTCTAAGGGGAAAAGGTGCAACAACAAAGTCTCATTTTATGGAAATAAACTTTAAGAGCACTCTGAATGTTCAATGTCAGGGAGGTCAGAATAGAAACCATCCTATTTGAAGCAGACATTATTATTTACTACTGTACAAAGATGACAAAGCCTTGTGTAGGGCTACCTGACTAACCAAAGCAAACTGAACCCAGATTGTGGTGCTCAATCGCAAACTGGAATTCATATGCAGATCTGACACTATCAAACTTCGGCTTAACTACAGAAAGTGACTGTTGCTCTTTCTGTTTGTGTTCTTGTGTTATTTTTGTTACACTGAAAGCTTACTGCAATTAGATACACAAAATGTTATGCTACCAACTTACCCATGAAAGCTTATGCTACCACAAACATGTTAAAACTTAAGGCATCTCAAAAACACAATTTCTCTGGCTTTAACAGACCAACAAAGCTACTCCTCTGGAATTAGGTTAATATGGTTGTTATATGGTAGAAGCCTTAAGCGTACTCTGAGAGGTGCCCAACTGAACCCCACGAGTCATAAAGACTTCCATAATTCCATCCTGGGAAGAGTCAACAGTCAAAGTACAGTGTATTTCTGTCATTAAAGCAACATCTGCATATTCCATCCCAAGAATTACACCGGTAGAATGACATTTCCATTACGAATTCCCCTCTTCCACTGCAGACCACCACGCTGTCCCTCCCTGCACTGTTACTGCTCCTTGATCTCCAGGCTGGGAGGATCATACTCAAGATCCACTCTGCTAGCAGGATTCTTGATCTCCAGGCTGGGAGGATCATACTCCTCAAGATCCACTCTGCTAGCAGTATCTATGATCTGATCCAGCGACTGAGATTTGAAAATGGAATTTGAAAGGCTTAAGAGGATGATCATACCTAGGACTTAGATGCCAAGACTAACTCCAAAGGTATTATTTATTCCTATAATTTCTTTTTCAAGGTCAACATAAAGGCATTGACATTCTAGAACTGTTGGTGAGAAAAGGCTCAACTCTGATAAAAAAAAAGACAGTCTGCCTTGTTTCTTTTGTCTGATTTGCAAAACAGAAAGGTCTCCATCATAAACCAGGCAGACAAGATATTGCAAAGTGGGATGTTCTCCAGTGGAGGCAGGAGATCCAGCAGTTTTAGAGACAGGTATCTTGTCCACCATGTAGCTATCTATGTCTTTCATAAGAGTACTTAATTTTTAATTCAAGATAACATCACCCAATGTTGGATTATTAGAAGGTGACAAGTAAGAAGGAAATTCAAGTAAGAAAATGATGTAGCAGAACGAAGTAGCATAAGCAAGCCTGCAAATGGTGTGACTCACAAGTATATTGAGGAAAACTCATACAAAAACCAAAATATCTGACTAGATGGATGTATAAACTGTACTTATTTCCTGGTAAGGAATTATTATAATATAATTACTCTTATTCCCAGACAGCAGTTTGATATTCAAAATGAAATGGCATAGTCTATGTATAATAGTCACACATAATAACCTTCCAGTGAATTTACCTGTACTAATTCACTCAGCATATCTACATTTCTAAATATTGTGAACCAAAAATCTGGGATTCCTTTGGGATTTGTTTCTTCTGCTGCACCTGCTTCTTTTTCTTCTATTACTACTTTATTTTTCAGATCTCCCTAGAAACAAGACATAAAATTTTAGTTTAGAAACTTTCAAAAAACACTCCAAGTTTCTTGTAAAGTATAAAAACCTTGTTGGCTTAACACAGAACAGTTATCACGTGAGCAGTAGTAATACTGCTATATTTATTCTGAAGAGAAAGCATCAACTGATTACTAAACGTAGCAGAATAATTTCTCCCGTGTCACTGATACTCTATCCTCTCAAATGGTATGTAATAGGTGAACACAGTAAAAGAAGGGAGATGGGCTGGAGATGGAAACAACGTTCAGGAGGTAAGAATTTTTAAATATTAATATTTAAGTCAATGGTACGATTGGGGAGTCAGAAATAATCTCCCAGTCATGCAGCCAAATGACATACTCAAATGAATTAGTACATTTAACACAATATTGACTACTCTGACTGGTAGCATCACCCCTGGATCTTACTAAAACATCTTCACTAGCACTCCTTTTTACTCTTACAACAGGAGATACCATGGATTGAACTTGGGACCTTCTATGAGCAAGAGAGTGAGACAGCGACAAAGCATCTGGAAATGATCAGAAGCAAGTGACTTAAGCACCATGTTCATTTAGAGACAAGGCGAGAAAGTCAGCATATCAGGCCCTTTTATTAATTACATAGTTTCAAGTAGACACTATGGGTTGAATTCAATAAATCGCAAGGATATGCTTCTTCCTTCTCCTCCTTCCCCCCAGCTATCTCCTGAAACCTCTGAAATATTGATGCTGTGAATCAATGGAACCCCATTAGCAAAACTGAGGAAATTATGGAGCATGGCCATTATTCGTCTACCAGCAGAGTTTCTGATGCGTAAGGCACTCTCGGTGAAAAAGTGGAATTGTGGTATTTTGTCCATGGGACTCTCATGATTTTGAGCACCAGCTTTTCAGATGTTCCACGAGGCAGGACAGATCTCCAGCCACAAGTGCTTTCTACTCATGGTTCACAGGAACCAACACCTTAGCTTCGAACTAAAAACCTTTAAAAGACCAAACCTGTTACGAAGGTAGAAAGCCAGGAGCGCAATGGGAGCTTCTCAGTGTATTGCACACAATCATTCATAGCGATCTGCCTATCAGGCAAAAGTTGTGGGTAACTGCTCAGTGCAATGAGCTCCTGGCTCTCACTAAACGAGTCCACACCCTTGAGGTCAGTGACTGCTAGAGATGTCCTGCTCCCATGCTGACAGCTCTGCTGTTGTCATGGAGAATGAGGGCCAAATGATCCTGTAGAAACCACCGACTCCTCAATGGTATCTGCTCATGCAGAAGATAATCCTTCAGTTTGAGAACACTTGGCAGGAGACCTATTCGAGGCACAAGCTGAAATCTCACCACCACTACACAAGTGGAGCAAGATCTTACAATTGAACAAAAGCTTACACAAGAGCTAGTGGAGAGCATATTTCAGCCAATTACCCCTTTGCAAGGGGGCTGCTGGAAGAAGGGTCAGGCTGTAAAAACTGCTTCTGCAACTTGGTTTGTTTGCAGATGCTTGCATCAAGCCCAGTGTTGGGCAAGCAAGATTATTTCGGCAGGCACATTCCAAGTCCATCTTGTTTCCAAGAAAACTGTTCACTCCAGATACCAAAGACCTACACATACTCTATACAATGGACTGCAACATTAAACAGAGTTAGCACTGTGTTTATCCCAAAGCCAGAGTGTGCAAATAGACCTGGCAATAGTATTTATGAACAGTTATATCAGGGCACAAGAAACAAGTTAACAAGACAAAAAATGCAACATTTCGAGAATTTGCCACAAAAGTGCAAAAGAGCATGGTTTGAATCTCACAGATGATTTCGGCAGACAGAAAGGATGGTAATTTTCTCTGATTCCCTCTAGAGGCCTCTGACACACATCTCACCCCCCCACACACACACGGTGGTTCTTGGGAGTCCCCTTCTACTGAACAGCAGCATTTCAATATTTTGCACTATCATGGAAGGACGGAAAGCAGGGAAGTTGTGCTCTAGAGATGGATGGGATATTCATTCAAGCCATGGAAATCTTCCATGGATTCAAGCCCACACCACTGCTAAAGTAGGTTAAAATAATGTGTTACACATGTAATTGATCTCTCTGCCACTCTGTTTCTTTTTGAAACAATCAACTATTGTTCCCCCAAACAGAGAAGACACACAGGCAGAAATAGCCAGCTTTTTCTTGTTTGGGGTGTTACTGTAGCACTGGAATGGAACCCATTTGCAGAAAAAACTGCCAACAGATTACGAACAGTGCAAATAATGATGATTTACCAACTAGATTACAATACTGGAACAAAACTATTAAACAAAGACATTCAGTTTCATTAAGCAAGCTTCTGAAACATCAGAAAGTAACTACAATTGTTCTGCAAAGGGAACATGCAAAAGCTATTTGAGACATCTGACACAAGCTCTTTTTCTAGGGATACACATTATTTTATTCAGTTCACTTTATTACCATTTCGGATACAAATTTATAAGAAACTTAAGCAATCATCTTAGGTCAGTGGTGGCGAACCTATGGCACGGGTGCCAGAGGTGGCACTCAGAGCCCTCTCTGTGGGCACGCATGCCATCGCCCCAGCCAGGCCCAGACCATCATTAAAGTGTCGAATTCTCTGCCAAATAATTTTAAGTAAATGAAAGCATTTGGGATTGCTTTCCTTACTTTGTTTGCATCATCTTAAGTTAATGTATGAGTTGTTTCTTCTTAAGTACAACCTCAGTATTCAGGTTAAATTGCCGTGTTGGCACTTTGCGATAAATACGTGGGTTTTGGGTCGCAGTTTGGGCACTCGGTCTCTTCTCTAAAAGGTTCGCCATCACTGTCTTAGGTTGTCATATTAGTGATTCTTTTTTAAAAGCCTTCAAAATATCTGTACTTACAGCTAGTTTTTCCTCTTCTTCATTTTCACTGTGCCATTCTGCCTCGGCATCTGTTTGTTCAGCAGCACCAGTGATAAAATCCCTTCTCTGTGCAAAAGGCATAAAAGCAGAAGCAGCAGCATTAGAACGTAACAGTTACCCCTGAAAGGAATGTACAGGAAACTGGGCACAGGCTTCAAGGTGCATTCAAGGGGGCGTTAGAAAGTGCCGTCGAGTCACAGCTGACTTATGGCGACCCACGCAGGATTGTCAAGGCAAGAGATGTTCAGAGGTGGTTTGCCATTGCCTGCCTCCTCGTTATGATCCTGCTATTTCTTGGAGGCCTCCCATCCAAATACAAGCCAGGGCCGACCCTGCTTAGTTTCTGGGACCTGATGAGATTGGGCTGGTCTGGTCTATCCCGCTCAGGGCGAAGCAGTTATTATCAGCTATTTATTCAGATATAGTAACAAGAATGTATTTCTCAGCAACTTAATCACCATCCCAAAACTCATTTCTCATGCCAAACAATATTTAAGAACTGACTTGACATGCTGGATAAATGGCACAACCAAAGTACAAGGCAGAAAACCCTCTTTTCTTTCTCAGTGTTCTTGTTAACAGCCATTTCAGCTTTCAAAAGTATTTCACTGACTCTTTCATTCTCTCTCTCCATCTCTAACTTCATGTCCCATTATTATCTAAGGCCAAGATAGCACTGGCAAAAAGTAGAGAGGCTTTATTGTGTTTATCCCAAAACTCAAGAGTCTCACAGGTAGCTTAGCACACCATTTTTCCTTCCCCCCCCCTTTAAAAATTGTACCATGAAATGCTGAACCTGACGTTTCCATTCTCTCTTGAAAAGTGTTAAAGTGAAGCCATTATGGGACTCCTGCTGTATAACTGGTTAATATTTTTACCATCTGTGAGAGAGCTGTAAGCGACAGAGCTGACTATGGTGGGCTCAAGGATGTCTGCCCGTGATTCCCCCTCCACTGCTAAAAATCTCCCACCCAGTTCTGCTCCCAGGGGTCCCTATTCCACAGGAACAGGATTTCACGGGGCATTTTGGATTGCTGAAGGAGTGGAGAGGTGAGAAAGTCACATCCAGGAAGAAGAAATCCTTGCACCCACAGAAACAACGGTCTGGATCCAAGCCTACATGAACTATACAGTTGAGGAAAACAACTCCTTAATTTTAATTACCCTCAGTATAGTGTTGCTCAGTTTAAAAGGAAAATAGCCAGAATTCAACAACCGTCTTTACTGGGGGGGGGGGGGGGGGGACACCTTTGTAATGATTCCATGTTTTGGTGCGTTTAAATGTTTAGTTTGACTGCAGTAATATGAGAAGAGTGATAGAGGGTGACAAGTGTGATTTGATTGGCTGCTGACTGAAAGTGTGGAAGGAGGAGTGTCAGAGGATTCTGTGAGTGTGTCTACGAGGAGATCCTGTGATATGAGAGAGACAAGTATGGAAGAGTTCTGAAGAGAGTCTATGTGAGTGACTCAGAGTTATGAAGGATTCTGTGTGTGAAGTTTGAAAAGCGAACATAGTCTGTGTGAGTATAGGATTTGGAGTCTATTTCTGAGTGAATAAGACCAACAGTTTAGTCTGTGTAACTAAGAGAGTTGATTCTATTCTGTGTGAATAAAACAAAGTGACTAGCCTGTGTGGCAATATATATCTGAGGGAGAGAGTATACTGAGTGTATAAGCCTGTCAGAGTAGAGTTTGAGAGACTGTTTGTAGCACCAAGCTTTGCCAGTTATATTTACAAGTTCCTTTCTTCAGCAACAGCTCAAAATAACCAGAAACCTATTTGGTTCTTTATTAAATAAATTATTTTTTGTTTAAACTTATCCCCCAGAAATCAGTACAGTACTTCCTCAGGGGCCACATAGTCTTCTGAAGTGCCCAGACCCTAGGTCATACTACCAAAAGAGAGAATTGGAATTTTAATTCCTGGTGGCAGCAGAAAACTACCAAGTTTATATACACACAGAGTGTTTAAAGGTAAAACCGTTTCCCCTGTAAGCAAGGATGTCACAACCTTAGTTGATGAAGACAGCCACATTACATTATCACAAGTGGGAGATATTTGAGAAGACAGAGCATATACTCTTGGAAATTAACAAGGTTTGTTCATGATTTTTGAATTGAGCCTATTGGAGAATAAGGCGCTTTCCCCACTAATATTAGCTTAGAAGTTAATAGAAAAACGTACACACATACAACCTTACCTTGTCAAAAAGAGGCTGGTAAAGGGCTGCGTATTTTCTCTCTAAATCATGAACTTCTTCATAAAATTTAGCTTCTATGTGGGCACATTTCACCTGCAGCTGTTTCAAGGCATCAATTCTTCGTTTTACTGCTTTTGGTAAGCTAGAAATTTTAAAAATTATTTACATTTATGTAGGAGCAGCATCTATTGTTTTCTCTCCCCCCACACACACACCCTTTCATTCCATCTCTCCTTCCATCTTGTTTTAAGTTCTTGCTGCAAAGAACATCTAAAACAGGGGTGTCGAACTCATTTGTTATGAGGGCCGGATCTGACATAAATGAGACCTTGTCGGGCCGGGCCATGTGTGTCATAAAATGTAATGCCAGGTAGCAGAGATATAAACTTTATAAAGGACACAAACACAAAGATTTTTTTTACTTAAAATAGAAACATGCTTAAAACATTAGCTCCGTAAGCTGCAAACCTACTTTTGATTTATTGACATTCACCACAGAAATCTCATGCCCAGAGTTCTGAGTCTAGGACCCAGGTTAAAACATGAAATGGCTGAGTGATTAAGACAGTCTGGCGAAGCAAGCTATGATGCAGCAGCAGCAGAACTGGAAGCAGGAGATGGCCAGTTCCACTGCGGGCCTGATGGAAGTCCCCCGGGAGACCCTGATCTAAAAGCATTTTTCTAACTGGGCAACTGCATGGAAAATATTCAGCATAAGAGATAATGCTACATATAGTAGGTATTACAGGAGAATGGGACATACGCTCATGATCTGACTGTGGCTGAGAGAGATTTCCAAGGATCTGTTATCCCAGTATTTGTTCTGCTCAAGTTCAGAGAAGCTGGTCACAGAATCTGCTCTGGCAGGGAAACAGCAATACTAGGCAAATAAAAGCTATTTCACCAAAACAGCAATTTAGCCAAATGTATATAACCCACCCTTCCCAACTTTAAATAGCTGTTGTGCAGCTGCTGAGAGAAAAGCAGCAGGAGGTGGCTATGTTGGCAAGCTGAAAAGGCAAGGGCAGCATTTCAGAATTCCAGATTTACTTATGGCTATGGCTTACATGGGGTGAGCCTTTATCTTAACAGTAAAGTGTAAAATGACTAAAATATTACTAGTCTCAACACAGCAGATATTGGGTTTGTCCAGTGAAATCAACAGTAAGAGGTTCAAAGCAAATAGCTTCTTCACACAAAATGTAATCATTGTAAGTTCCTTGCCACAAAGTGTTGTAATCAGACCCAAATGTAAATGTTTTCCCCCAAATAAATGATAAAATATGGAGGCTGCATCTAATCAGATAACACTGAGGCCTCCACCACTGAGAGGCAGTACACTTCCAGCTACCAGGTACTGGAAAACAACAGTACGGCTGTCACTTTCTTGCCTCAAGACACATGTAGCTATTTTGAAGAATAAACACTGGGATAGAAGATGCACTGAATAACGTAATGCTAACCACAAGGAAAACACTGCAGTAAGTATTACAAATACGGATGGGCACAAACTGAGCCACGAAGCAAAATCTGTTTGTGGCTTGTGTTAATAATAGGTGTACTGTCACAAACTTTTAAAGCAGTTTGTGGTGGTTCGTGGATGGAGCAGAAAACAGTGGGATAAAGGGACTCCAAGTCCCTTTAACCTCTGCTTTCTGGTGCTCCCCACTACTCAGTTCTTTCACGCTGTCTTGTGCAGACCTTTAAACTTTAAAGAGATTGCAGAAGACAGCCCGAAAAATAGCTGAGCTGGAAGGGAGATGTCTCCCCACCCTGGTCAGCTGTTTTGGGTTCTCTTGTGCAGTCCCTTTAGACGGGTTTATTTAAAAGAGCTGCATATCGGAGCCCAATATAGCTGAACATGTAGAGAGAAATCTCCCCATCAGCCTAGCTTCGGACTCTCCTGTGCAGCCCCTTTAAAAAGGGCTGCAGAAGGGAGCCCAATACAGCTAAACCTGCAGGGAGAAGTCTCCCCACTGGCCCAGCTTCAGGGTGTCCCCTGCAGCCCAGTTTAATGGGGCTGAATAAGGGAGCCCAATACAGCTGAGCCAACAGAGATAAGTCTCCCCACCAGTTAGCTTCAAGCACCCATGGGCTAAACTGTATTGGGCCCCCCTGTACAGCTCCTTTAAACGAGTTTGCACAAGAGAGCCCGAAGCTGGGCCAGCGGGGAGACTTCTCTCTGTGGGCTCAGCCAGCTGTATTGGGCTCCCTTTTGCAGCCCCTTCAATTGTACCCATCTAAAGGGACTGCACAAGAGAGTCCAAAACAGCTGACCGGTGGGCTCAGCTGTTTTGGGGGCTATCTTCTGTAATCCCTTTAAAGTTTAAAGGGACTCCACAAGACAGCCTGAAACAGTTGAGTGATAGGGAGCAAGCTGTTCCCCATGGTTCAGCTGTTTTTCAGGCTTTCTGCAAGCCCTGTTGAAAGGGACTGTGGTCCCTTTCAACGGGGTTTGTGGGGCCACAAACCAGTTCAGTTTGCAAACAGACCTTCTGGTTCACTTTGTGACTCAGCCACAAGCCGCAACACATTTTCCCAGCTCATGCCCATCCCTAATTACAAATATTTACATGGATACCCCTCTTTCATTTTTAAGACGGAACTATTAAAATAAAGTAGTCTTCCATCTTTCAAAGAATGGCAGTAAGACAGCAATACACAGCTTCTTAACCAGTACCAAAAAACCTAATACCCTTTTATCACTTACTAAATTATCCCTAGGATTATAATTTGGCAAGAGTCTGAAGATTTTCTGCTTTAGCGATCCCCAATGTTGTGCTTGTGGGGGCTATGGTGCCCACTTGTTTTTCTACCAACACACCCTCTTCCTCAAAGCAAAGGAACTATTCAGCCTTTTCTTCACTTCATTTGGAGCAAGGAGTGCTTCAGAAGACTCCAGGAAACATCACACCTTTGGATCTGTTGAGAGCACCCATCTGAACAGAGCAACCCCCTTTTCTAGGAAGATGTCTGACTTGGAATCTGGCAACATTTTGTAACTGCCCTCCCTGTGGCAGCCACTTTGTAGTGCCTGCCCACCCTTTCACAACCACCCTCCTCAGTACGGGGTGGGCTCTCATCTATCATATTTTATTGAGCTTCTAGGTACTCCTAAAGCACCAAGGTTGTCTTCCAAGCATCTTTGATGCTCAGAGAAAGCCCCACCCTTCTCAAGCCTGACTAAAGGAGCTCTCCTCAACTTTACACTGCATTTGTTTCAAATTAAAAGATGCCCTTGCAACTGATCCGCTGGTGAGTGCATTTGTGTACCTCTTTATTCCATACCTGTGGCAAGCCATGCGTCTCAAACTTACGTTTCAATGTAACTGGAAGGAGTGTGAGGTGCATTGTCAAGCCGTTCCTGCAAAGCTGCCAAGACTTGTGGATTCTGCATCACCTGATCTGCTAGCTTTTCTGTAAGAGAACCAGTAAGTTCAAAACAAGTCTTAATAGTATACCATCAACAGCCATTTATTCTGAGTGCAGTTTTAGCTCTAATTCCTGCAGTACAGAGTTCCCAAAGCAACACACACTGGTTCTAACTGGCAAGGCAGACATCTGTATATATATATCTATGAAGGATACCTTGGGAAGTAGCTTGTTTTCAAAGTTACAAATATCCATGATCAAAAACTATTAAGTCACCAAAGCAACAATAGATCTTTAGGCAGCCCTTACATTCATTATGTACAGACAGGATATTTTTAACAAATTATTTATTTATTTATTTATTCTTTAGATTTCTATACCGCTCCAAACCCCGAAGGGTCTCTGAGCAGTTTACACAGTTCCGAATTATCCCTAAGGCCACATGTTTACAGGGGTCGGGGCTACCTACCTTTTTTGTCTCCTGTACCTTTAGCAGCTTCCACAGAATCAGAGGGAGCATCTTCTGTTTTACTGCAAGAACATTATATATTCAGTATGCACCACGGTATATTTTAAAATTAACAGTAAGTTTATGTTTACACACTTTGCTGCTAACCTGAGACCCTAGTTACTAACATGGCATCCAGAGGACCTTGTATGTATATGTATATGTGTGTGGGGTGTGTGGATTTGAAAGTTACTTCCTCCAACATCGTACATACGGAAAAAAAGAAAAAGGTAGCATCAGTTCCACTACACTGTTTCCTGACCAAAAAGATTCCCATGACACCATTTTTCAAACACTTGCTGAAGGATTTTTTCGTGTCAAACACCATTATTGCTTATCTCCAACAAAAAACTTAACAGGAGAAGAATATTAAGAGTTTTCAAGAGTACTCGGCAGAGTAGCAGTATCACCTGCTGCATTTTTAGTAGAGATCAACTATGCCAACAGAAGAAAAAGTAAAGATTCACATGCTTTGTCATTACCCCACTGTAATAAACTCCGGTTTTTAAACAGCGATTGAGAACATGGGTGGAACAAGCAACAGATACAGGCAGACTTTGCAGCATACAGAACGAGAATGCATAGTAAGTCGGACTAAAATGGAGTAAGGCATACACATCTATCAGCCTCTGTAATGTTTTCCTGCAATATACTTTGTACATACACTCCAAAGACACAGCATTTCTGGTAATGCCATGAAGAAAGGGGCTAAACATTTAACAGCAGGGCATAACTACAGTGTAGGACTCTTACATTTTGAACTCAGCTTGTACCAGTCACTATTCTTTCATGATATTTATATTCTCTCTGTGTGTGTCTCTGTGTGTCTGTCACAGGAGTTACCTCCTGTAACTCAATAAAAGACATAAAATTTCAAGACAAAACCCAATGGAAATTATGACTAAACATAAAAGCAATCAACAAATTAGGTCATCTACAGACAGCTGCCCAAGTTAACAGTAATTAATCAGCATGTCAAAGGCATGGTTCAGCATTCTAAAGCTATAGTGCAAGCGCATAATGCTGTTTGTATAGCAACAAGATACAAAGGCAATCTCTTTACCTGTAAAACTTTACAGTTTACTATCCTGACAACAGAAGTCTGTGTTTTTCTAATTGCAAATATACCAGCTACACATAATTGCACTGCCTGTCACATATAATACACACCTGTTTTCCTAAACAAATATTCTCTCTGTGCAGAAAAGCACAATGTGTGAAAACAATCCTACAGCACAAGCAACAACAACAAAGGTAGAAGAGCCATAAAGAAAATCAGCCTGTTCCTGAGCCACCTGTCATTACCACATAGGGAAACCCACCTCACAATTTAAGAACACTGAGAACAGACAGACACTTTATGTGACTGAATGCATTGAAAATAGTAACAGTCAACTTCTTTGGAAAGAATGCCACAAGTCCAGTTTTAAGTATGAGAGTGTCACTTATATTATATAGATTCATAGAATCATAGAGTTGGAAGATACCTTCAGGGTCATCTAATTCAATCCCCTGGGCATGTAAGAAAGGGCCACAGGACTGGCGCTGATGCAACCCTTCCTACCCTTCCTCTCATGATCTGCCTAAGTTTACAGAATCAGCATTGCTGTCAGATGGCCATCTAGCCTCTGGTTAAAAACCTCCAAAGGAGAGCCCACCACCTCCTGAGGAAGCCTGTTCCACCGAGGAACCACTCTGTCAGGAAGTTCTTCCTAATTTTCAGTTTAAAACTCTTCTGATTTAATTTCAACCCACTGGTTCTGGTCCAACCTTCTGGGACAACAGAAAACAACTCCACACTATCCTCTATATGACAGCCCTTCAAATACTTGAAGATGGTTATCATATCACCTCATTCGTTTCCTCTCCAAGGCTGAATATACCCAGCTCCTTCAACCTTTCCTCATAGGACTTGGTCTCCAGAGCACTCTCGAATCTTCGTTGCCCTCCTCTGGACATATTCCATCTTGTTTATATCCTTCTTAAATTGTGGTGCCCAAAACGGAACACAATACTCCAGGTTAGGTCTAACCAGAGCAGAGCAGAGAGATACCATCACTTCGCATTATCTGGATACTATACTTCTGTTGATACAGCACAAAGTTTGTCTTTTTAGCTATCACATCACGCTGCTGACTCATGTTCACTGCATGGTCTACTAAGACCCCTAGTTCTTTTTTGCACATACTACTGCAAAGACAAGTCTCCCCCATCCTATAATTATGCATTTGATTTTTTCCTACCTAAATGCAGAACTTTACATTTATCTCCATTTAAATTCATTTTGGCCCCGGCCACATGTGCCGGAAAACATAGGGGGGAGGCGTGGCTATTTGTGCCATCGCATTCTGATCCGCCATTATGCGATCAGACACTCTGGCGGCGCACTGGGGTTTCGTCCTTCAATGTGCGCTGCAAAGAGGATGGCAGAACGAGTCTGTCTGCAGCCCGTGGAAAACCATTTGCTAGTAGATCTTTGCAGGTACTTTTTTTAACTGTGCATCTTCGGTGGCACGCCATGGGTTGGCCATGGGTGTGCTACGCTTGCCAGATGTTGCAGTGTGATTGTGCCATGAAAATCCGCCCAGCCTCTGTGCCTTTCGCGCGGCAAATTCTCCGTGTGACCGGGGCCTTTATTTGTTTTAGCCCAGATCATTCCGTATCTTGGCTTTGTTTTCTACCGTATTTGCTACACCTCCCAATTTAGTATTATCTGCAAATCTAACAAGCATTCTCTCTATTCATTCATCCAAATCATTTATAGAGATGTTGGAAAAAACAGTCCCCAGGACAGATCCCTGAGGCACTCCATTTGTCACTACTCTCCAAGAGGATGAGGAACCATTAATTGAGCCATGTTCAACAAGTTATGCAAACACTTCAGAACGAGCAAATTCTATCAAAAGAACAGAACTATTCTCAGCTGGGGGGAAGACAGAAGATTATGTTGTAAAGCAAAACTGTTCTAAATACATGAACACAAATTCAGCCTGAGACAAGTCACAGTTCAAAGTCAACAAATACATTGTAAGAGGTCTTTTTTGTAAAAGTAGCTGCTTCTTACAAAAACACAAACTTTCAAGAAATGGATTGTAGAGAACCAACCTGTTATCTGCCATCTGAAAGACTGGTTATCCACCTGTAAGACAATATGCCCAAAATTTAGGAAAGAAAGTTTAAGCATATTGATAAAAGATACCAAAGTAATTTTCGGAAAGTAATTCATGCATTGCATATTATTTCTCCAACAGCCACCTGCACCAGAAGTCATTTCTGAATACGTTTACAAGCAGTTTTAACAGTCTCTTCCCACAGATATTGCCTGAATGTTCTGGTTCTAAGCAGTTAAATTAAAAAGTTTCCTCCCCTTCCTCTCCACCTAAAATCTATTCCTTGTACTTAATATTCGTACATTTTTGAGTTATCACCGAGCATCACATAACTATTTGGTGAAACTGCATGCTGGTAACATTCTTTCAATCCAAGCATCAACACAAAAAGTAAAAACTGTCCTAACTTTAGCAAAACCTCTGGAATATAAAGCAAATCAAGCTAAATAGGAGCTACTAACTCTAGAGTTACATAATACTTTTGAAATATTCTACACGACTGCACTTAAATTGGTGTTTCAGTTTTGCAGAACAAAATAATTATAAGAATAACTACAAGTCTTTAATTGAACCAGTAAAAGAAAAATTCCAGGGCAGTCTTATACAGAGCTCAATGGGCTTAAAAGGTGCAATTCTGGTTTATGAACACACTGTCAATGACTTAGACAGTCGACGACCTGGTGTAATGTGAACAAGCCTGGGAGGACTTAGTATTGGTTTCCTTGAGCAGTATAAACTCAGTTACTAGTTTGTGGCAAACCTCTGAGTTCACGTTTGCTCTAGAGGCCAAAGTGGTACCTATTTATCTACTTGCAATTTCTTGCTTTCAAACTGCTAGGTTGGCAGGAGCTGGAACTAGAGACGGGAGCTCACCCCGTCTTGCGGCACACTCGGGTCTTGAACTGCTGAACTACTGACCTTCCACAGCCTGCAGTTCAGCGTCTTAACCACTTGAGCCACCGCAGCTCCTATGACGGCACCAAACTAGGAAGTAAATAATTATTTTGCAACATGCAAGGAAGGAGATCACATAAGACATCCGGAGACTTGGGGGGGGGCTTCTCCCTTTGAACCAGACCAACAAGGCAGCCAATACTGGGAGATGGGGAGCTAAGCTCTTCCTTCAAAATGGCAAGGCTGAACTCTACTCCCCTCCACCATTTAAAAAGTTCCTCCCCTTTTCCAATCTAAGCCATTGTGTGGCTTTACACAATGTTTCAGCTAGAGAGGGGGAAAGGAGCCAGTGTGATTACATCCAGTGCTAATGTGATAAAAACAGATGAAAGGACAGCAGAGAGCAGCATCTTTTTGTGCCCCTGCATGGAAGCCGGCAGTTACTGGGCCCACATCAAAAGACTTTTTAGAAATAATTGCTGCTAAAAAAAGCAAAATAAATTTTAATTTCTTTTTAAATGTCTGAAACTGTCAGCTGACCCCAGTTCCAGGATAGCAACTAAAGAGAACTGAACAATGATCACCTGCTGTGTATAGATAAATGAATATGTATATTGCCTATATCATCAAGTGTTGTTGTTCAGTCGCACAGCTGAGTCCGACTCTTCGCGACCCCATGGACCACATCACACCAGGCCCTCCTGTCTTCCGTCGTGCTCCGAAGTTTGCTTAATTTCATGTTTGTTGTCTCGATAACACTGTCTAACCATCTCATCCTTTGCCATCCCCTTCTTCTTTGACCTTCAATCTTCAAGTAGCTCATTACAATTTTTACAGATACATTCCAGTTATAATTAGCACATACACCAAAACTGGGGTTAACTAAAGTACCTTTCTGTTGATCTAATAATGTCATGAAAAACAATTTCTTTTGAGTGATCAGATAGTGAGATTGTACAAGGCTAGACAGAAAGTTATATAATCAGCAGCCAACTTTTACCTAATAGCCTTTAAAAAAATTTTTTTTAAAGTTCAAGAACATTTCAGTTTGCTAAGAGGACAGAACTCCAAAATGGTTATTTTTGACAGCATGAACAGTGAATGAGCACAATGAGGTAACACTTCTGTTTTGAGGATAATGTTCAGCAATAGTGGGTTCAGCTGACAGCTTCATGTCATGCAAGTCTACTTCAACTTGCATTGTCAGAATCTTCAATCTTCTCTTTAACAAATAAATAGAGGTGGGAAAGCTACGCAACAATGGAAACATGTTATGGAACATAAAATACATACACTGCATCTATAAATCAAGAAAAAGAACAGACAGTACTGAGCAGACAGTAAAACCACAACAGCAGACACCCAAGAAAAGAGCAAGCTGACTGCAGTGGCACGATACGAGCCGTGCACCAAATGGACCTACCAGCCGACACCGAGGATCGCAAGAAGGAGAATGGAACAAAGCGCCGAGCCAGCAATTGCCAGTAGCCGAACCAGGAGTGAGAAGTACAACTCCTTCCACAGGGTGCCAGTAGGGTAGTCCCCACCCCGATTGAAAATGTGGCCATAGATAGGGTTAATTAACAATACTGTAAGCCGCTCAGAGACCCCTGGGGGGGTTCGAACGGGATAGAAACTGAAATAATAATAATATATAATAATAATTTTTTAACTATCCTTTCCGGAGGGCTAGCTTGGCACCCTGGAAATCTCACTGTGTCACAACGTCTGCTGTGCCTCATGGAGAAAAGAAATGCACAGGGGGAAGGCCCGTCCCTTCACTTGAGAGAGATGAGGGCTGTCTGAGTTTTGAGAGATGCAGGGAAAGAAAACCCCACATGCACAGAGATACTCTTGTAATTTAAAAGGTTATAGTGTGTGTTTGCTGGGGTAATGCAGAAGGCATACTGTAGTCATGTGGCTCTTTCAGTCGATGGTCATTGAAAATGAGGCTCTCCACATACCACAAAGTCAGCACCCTTCTTTAAAGGATCTTATCATGGGTGGATTTCAGCAGTTACAGTGTAGATTCTAAACAATCTACAGGCATCCTCTGAGATAAGATTAGCTTCCACAATTTTTAAAGCAAGGTTCAATCTCTGCAACAAGATAGTGACAAAAATTCTTGAAAACAACAATTTGTAATCAACTATCAGTTGAGGAGTGTCTTAAAAATTTCACTGAACTGATTAACGCAGCACATTTACATTTAAGATACTTTTTTCATTTATCAGACTCTTTCAAACTTCTGCCATGCAAGTCTTGCCTTCCTGAACCTGCAAAACAGAAGGCTCACACTGGTGCTATAGACAGCAGCTTCAAACCACAGCAGAAAATTATGGTTTCCGTTCCAGAGTTTATAGTCACAACCCAGCAAGCCGCAAAATAACAGTATGTCATCTATAACAAGGGGTGGGGAAGAGAAGGAAGGCACCAAAGAGAAATAGTTGCAAGAAAATTAAATATTACTTACTGGGGGTGTGTGGGGGAGAAAGTAATAAGAAAACTTTTTTTTTTTTGGTCTTACATGCATTTTATTGGTATACAGGAGCTCTCACATCAAACGGCTCAGATTCCCAACTGTTTTCCCTGGAGTTATTTACCATACCATACACAAAATTTTACGAAGCACGACCAAGTGTTTTTCAAACGTTCACCCACCATCGTGAACAGAATCTTGATGGTGACTATAAAACATACTGCCACAGTAAAGCGATCGGCAATACCAAAAGAAAAAAAGAAGAAGAAAAGAGCAATGCAGAGAAAGGACACGGGCGTTGGCAAAACAAAATCTGGGAACACTTTATATATGGTAAAATCGTCTCTCACCAAAAAGATTTTCAAGCAACTTGGTTCCCAGCAGTGAACTATCTCGCAGAAGAAGAAGTGATTCCACACAACTCTTATTACAAAGATCTGTTATACTTTTTTTTAAAAAAGGCTCTTACGGGTTGAAAATGTTGATTATTGTATAGTGTTAATATGCGTGTTAATATGTGTTGAGATTGTACTGTTTATTTATTTATGTATTATTTATTTACATTTGATTTCTATACCTGTTGTATATATTGTTCAATATTATAAAAAAACACTTATTTAATAAGAAAACTTTTTAATGACAAGAGCTGTATATATAAAAAAACAAAAACATCGATTACTTGCAAGCCCCGTGGCCTTTGATTTCCGTCCCTATCTCTCTTAAGAGTGTCATTTTTTTAAACTACAGAACTCATCCAGCTGGAGGGGAGAATATCGAGCACATGTCTACAGACAGGTACGGGCGAGGGGAGGAAAAGAAACGCGCCGCGCGTGCAGGGAGGGTTTCAGCAAGAGGCCGCCCCGAGGAACCGCCCTGAGAAGAGAGCGGAGATTAAAAACCCCCCCCCCCCCGGGGGGGCATGCCTTGTGGCGGGCCGCGGCCGACGAGGCGAAGAAGCGGCCCAACCGTCGCCTCCGAACCCCCTAAGCCTTCCAGCACCATCCCCACCCCCAGGCCACCACCTCAGCCTAGGCCGCTCCGTAAAATGGTGCCCGCACGGGGGCCGCCCCGCTTGCCTCCCTCACCAGTCGGGCCCGGATAGGACCACAAGCGGCCTCCTTTCCCCCCCACAGCCTTCCCCGTCACCGAAAAAAAAAGGAACCCAGCCTGCCTCCACGGCCCTGCCCCGGCCCAGCCCCACTAACCCCGTCTCACCTGGCCCCGGCCCCCTCGAGTCACCTCACGGCCGCAACAGCAGCGCCCAGGCGGATCCCTCTCACAGACTCCGTCGGGCTGCGCCGCCCTCAAGACGGCCGCCGCTCATTGGCCGGCGCCGCGGCGCGCCGCGCAGTAAGAGCCGCCCCGATTGGGCCGGGGTTAGCGACGGCGGCTGCTCCACACGCGGGACATGTTGACTTTCCGGCAGGGAAAGGGGGATGAGCCAATCAGGAGGGCGGGGAGGAGGAGGAGGAGAGCTGGCGTTTAACGCGCGTGCGCAGTGGAGGCGCTGGAGGGGGGCTGTGCTGGGCCTGGGAGGAGCGCTCGGGCGGCGGGGGACGGAGGGCGGCGGCTCTCCGGTGGGATGAACGGCGGTCGTCTGGGAGACAAAAGTTGGGCACGTTCAAGGACGAGCGGCTCCGGCTGAACCAAGCAAAATGCGCTCCGCTTGTGTCCCAACGCGGAACGAGTTAGAGTCGAAGGAAGGAGTTCGTACAGATAAAAGGAAGTCCTTCTTCACCCGAAGAGTGATGAACACACGGAACTCACTGCCACAGGAGGTGGCGGCGGCTACAAGCGTGGAGGGCTTCAAGAGGGAACTGGATAAGCATATGGAGCAGAGGTCCATCAGTGGCTATTAGCCACAAGGTATAGATACGGACTCACAGGCTGGGGCAGGTGATGCTCTGTATTCTTGGTGCTTGGGGGGGGGCAAGAGTGGGAGGGCTTCTAGTGTCCTGGCCCCACTGGTGGACCTCCTGAGGGCACCTGGTATTTTTGGCCACTGTGTGACACAGGGTGTTGGACTGGATGGGCCATCGGCCAGATCCAACATTGGCTTCTCTTATCTCTCCTTATATATAATTGAATAGTGGGTGCCAAAGTTCTAAAATAAATAAAATGCACTCCTTTAGTGTATGGACGCTTGAACTGTCAGTCAGAAGACGCTGGCTGGGTTGACTGGTTGCTTTGTGCAGTCCCGCCCAGTGTTTCAAGGTCTTTTGCATATGGAAGCTGATTGGACTTCACTGCATTCCACACCTCAAACTCACCCCCCTCCCCGCAAGGCAGTTGGAATGTCAGTTGCATATGGAACCTTCAAGGTCTTTTGCATATGGAAGCTGATTGGACTTCACTCCATTCCACACCTCATACTCCCCACCCCCCGCAAGGCAGTTGGAATGTCTGGTGGTGTGTAGGTCCCAGGATCATGTTTTAAAAGCTGCCTGGGGAGATGGGGACCTCAGACAGGTTACAGTGCCATAGACTCCACCCTCCAACCCAGCTATTTGCTCCTGGGGAACTATTGTTGCCAATCTTGGCCCAGCACCCATCAAACCATTCTCTTCAACCCCCTGCTGTGCAGCACACTTTCCCCTAGGGTTGCCAAACTCCAGGTGGGACCTGGAGATCTCCCACTGCTACAATTGATTTCCAGATGACAGAGATCAGTTTCCCCTGGAGAAAATGGCTGCTTTGGAGGGTAGACCCTATGACATTATACCTGCTGAGTCCTTCCGCCCCCCCACCCCGCCCAATGCTGCCCACTACAGAATCCACCCCCCAAAACTCCAGGTATTTCCCTCCTTAGAGCTGGCAACCCTACATTCCCATCAATGCCTGTTGGTAGGCAACTAAGCTTGGTCCTGTCACCTACTTTGGCCTTTGGGAGAAAACACATTGGGGCCAGTCCTGATAGGGTTGCCAACTCCAGATGGGAAATTCCTGGAGATTTGAGGGATGGAGCCTGAAGAGGGTGAGGTTTGAGGAGGGGTGGGACCTCAGACAGGTACAATGCCATAGACTCCACCCTCCAAACCACTCAATCCCTCATGGGGAACCATTGTTGCTAATCTCCAGGTGAGGGCTGGAGACCACTCAAAATTACAATTGCTCTGCAGAAGGGAGGGCAGAAGTCAGCTGAAGTCAAAGGGGCAGATAATGGTAGGTTGATGGTTAGCTGGGAAGGAGATGGGGTTGCCAACTACATGCTGACAAATTCCTGGGGATTTGAGGGGTGGAGCCTGGAGAGGGTGGGGTTTGCAGAGGGGTGGGACCTCAGACAGGTAGAATGCCATAGACTACACCCTCCAAACCAGCCATTTGCTTCTGGGGAACTATTGCTGCCAATCTTGGCCCAGCAGCCATCAAACCATTCTCTTCAACCCCCTGCTGTGCAGCACACGTTCCCCTAGGGTTGCCAAACTCCAGGTGGGACCTGGAGATCTCCCACTGTTACAATTGATCTCCAGATGACAGAGATCAGTTCCCCTGGAAAAAATGGTCTAGTGTTCTTATAAGAGGGAGCTGGTTAAGCATATGGAGCAGAGGTCCATCAGTGGCTATTAGCCACAAGGTATAGATAGGGACTCTCGGTCTGGGGCAAGGGATGCTCTGTATTCTTGGTGCTTGGGGGGGGGGAACAGCGGGAGGGCTTCTAGTGTCCTGGCCCCACTGCTGGAGCTCCTGATGGCACCTGATATTTCTGGCCACTGTGTGACAGAGTGTTGGACTGGATGGGCCTTTGGCCTGATCCAACATTGGCTACACTTACGTTCTTATAAGAGGGAACTGGATAAGCATATGGAGCAAAGGTCCATCAGTGGCTGTTAGCCACAAGGTATAGATGGGAACTCTCAGGCTGGGGCAAGGGATGCTCTGTATTCTTGGTGCTTCGGGGAGGGGCACAGTGGGAGGGCTCCTAGTGTCCTGGCCCCACTGCAGGACCTCCTGAGGGCACCTGGTATTTTTGGCCACTGTGTGACAGAGTGTTGGACTGGATGGGTCTTGGGCAGTGTTCCCTCTAAGCTGAGTTAGCGTGAGCCAGCTCACAGTTTTTTAGCCTCCAGCTCACACATTTTTGTCTTAGCTCAGGAAGGAGGGCTCCAGAGCAAACTCAATTCATGCAGTCGCCAAATCGCTTACTCACAACTTTAATGCCAGCAGCTCCCAAAGTAGAATTTTTGCTCACAAGACTTCCACAGCTTAGCAGGAGCGCTGGCCATGGGCCTGATCCAACACTGGCTTCTCTTATGTTCTTAAGGAGGAGGAGGGATATTGGATTTATACCCCCACCCTTCACTACCCAAGGGAGTCTCAGAGCGGTTTACAAGCTCCTCTCCCTTCCCCTCCCCACAACAGACACCCTGTGAGGTAGGTGGGGCTGAGAGAACTCCGACAGAAACTGCTCATTTTTCAAGAACAGGTCTTATCATAACTGTGGCTTGCCCAAGGTCATCCAGCCGGGTGCAAGTGGAGGAGTGGGGAATCAAACCTGGTTCTCCCAGATTAGAGTCCGCGCACTTAACCACTACACCAAGCTGGCTCCCAACATTGAAGGACAATGAAGACAAAAGGGGTGTGTTCGTCCAGCGAAGCCGACTCACTGATTTGCATTTCCTACAGCAATCCATGTTGAGATTTTCATTTCCTACAGCAATCCATTTTGAGTCTCAAGTGTTACTTCATGGGACGGCAGCATCGGCGAGCAGAGCGGGCCCCCCCCCCCGGCACATGTTCGTGCACAGATAAAACACACTTTTACAGAGTGCACATTTACTTCGGAGTAAATCCTGCTGTGCTAAAGGCTTTCAGATTGGGAGACAGCGCGATTATAGGCTGTCCTGCTGCTGTGTCTCTTAGGCTGCGATCCTAAGAATGCTTTTGGGGGAGCAAGCCATGCTGACTGAAATAGAATTTACTTCTGAGTAGACCTGATGGAAAGGGCTGCGGTGGCTAAGACACTGAACTGCAGGCTGGTGGAAGGTTGGTAGTTCAGCAGTTCCGGACCCGAGTGCCGCAAGACCGTCTCTAGTTCCAGCTCCTGCCAGCCTAGCAGTTTGATAGCAAGAAATTGCAAGTAGATAAATAGGTACCGCTTCAGTGAGAAGGTAACAACGTTCCATGCGCCTCGGCGTCTAGTCGTGCCAGCCATGTGACCACGGAAATGTCTTTGGACAGCACTGGCTCTTCGGCTTGGAAACGGGGAGATGAGCACCACAACTCTAGAGTCGGATTCGACTGGCTTCCGAGCAAGGGAAACCTTTACCTTTACCCTAAATTCCGCTGTGCTAAATGCTTTCAAATTGAGAGAAATTGCAGTTATAGGCATTTCCGTGTCTTCTTGTTTCCTGACTGCAGTCGCCGCTGTGTCTCTTAGGCTATGATCCTAAGAATGGGTTTGGGAGAAGCAAGCCATGCTGACTGAAATGGAATTGACTTCTGAGTAGACCTGATGGGGATTGCTCTGATAATCAAAATGCCTTGCGGTTCCTAATATGCCGCTCTGCCCGAGCTGTGAAGCCGATGCCTGCTCTGTAAAACCGTGAGCCCTACGCTTGCCGCTTTCATGGCTGCCCTGTGGGAGTGGTGGTGAATACCTTCTTCTGTTTATTATGGCTATATTTCTGTGAGTACCAAACACCTCCTGGTGCCTGCTCTGCTTTCTCCTGGCCTTCTGAGTGTACCAGATACTTTCTGCTTTTTAATAGGCTGCAAATAAGAATTTAATTGTATATAAAATAGGCATGCTTCCTCCTGCCCGGTGACACCACATTTAGCAGGGAAGATGCAATGGGTTAGGAATACAGTCCCTGCGAATTTCCTTCTGGTATTGGACCAAATAGCTCACATGTTGGGGAGACTCTGCGATTTCTCTAGAGGCATTAATGCAGCTTCAGAGAGAGAGAAAAAGCAGTTGGGCTTAGATTCTCATTGGAACCCTCAGAGTAGAGGCAAGTTTCCAAAACATTGCATCAAAAAGATGAGGAAGACTTGCCTTGCACTTAAAATAGCAAGTTGACAGCATTCACAATGACCTATTGATTTTAACTGCTACACAAATGCAGTAAAATCATGATGCTCTGACATTTGACAAACCAGTAATTAGGAAAGAGACTGACATTTTAAAGGCTGAACAGTTATTTTAAGCTCTGAAACGGAAAGAGCAAATGCTGTGGAATACCTTGCAGTCTTTAGTAGTACATAGCTCTAATCTTTGATGAGGGGGGCACAAACCTCCCATCCCCTATGGTACGTGGCACATCCCCTGTGGTACCTCTATAGTGCCTAAGGAGAGGGTTGTTAAACTGCA